TCAGACAGGCCTGTACATGTGCCTTCTTGAGGAGGGGGACTTTGTGCGCTGCAGGATCTCAATCCATGGCCGTGTATTGTGTCACCAATGGTTGTTTGGTGACTGGTCCCAACTGCCCTGAGATCATTCACAAGGTCATCACATGTAGTTCTGGGCTGATCCCTCACTTTTCTCATGATCATCCTTACCCCATGAGGCGAAATCTTGCATGGAGCTCCAGACCGAGGGTGATTGATGGTTATTTTGTATTCCTTCCATTTCCGAATAATCGCTCCAACAGTTGTTTCCTTCTCACCAAGCTTCTTGCTGATAGACTTGTAGCCCATTCCAGCCTTGTGCAGGTCTACATTCGTGTCCCTAACGTTCTTTGGTCTTGCCCATGGTGGTGAGGTTTGAATGGAAGAAAGAGATTCTGTGGACAGGTGTCTTTTTATATACATAACGAGTTGTCGTTAGGAGCACCTTCTTAAATTGACAGGACTAATCTGTGTACCACATAGCCAGTCTGTGGGAGCCAGACTTATTGTTGGTTGGTAGGGGAACAAATACGTATTTTACTCACTGAACTGCAACTCAATTTATAACATTTTTAATGTGTTTTTTCTGGATTTTTGGTTGGTATTCTGTCTCTATCATTTAAAGTACACCTATGATACAAATTATAGACCTTTAATTTCTTTGTAAGTGGGCAAACTTACAAAATCTGCAGGGGATCAAATTATTATTTTCCTCACTGTGCATAATGTGCAACATTTTACCTCCACCCCATAGTATTAAGTTACACACACAGATATGTCAAAAGTTGGCATCCAATGCATGCTCCTGCAATAGAGGAAGGGTATTGTATCTAATGCTCTACTAAACATGAAAGCTGGGATATTTCCTGACCACTGTATCTGTGCCTAAAGCCACTGCACTTGTTTAACAAGTCTGCAGAACTACACCCACCTCTCCCTCAATCACCGATTTGTTTAACAAATGCTGCACATTTTAGGTACAAGGCCTTGCAAAACCTGTTGGGAATAAATAGACTTTAGGGATTCCTCCTAATTGATTCTGTTGTTTAAACAACAAATGTTTACTTTAAAAGTAATTTTGAACTGCATATGAAAATAAAGTCGCAGAAATGCAAAGGGGCGCACATCACAGAACTTAGGATTTGTGTAGATGGATGCAACGTGCAATGGGGTATTTTTTTGGTAAAAAATGTGCATAGCTATTTGTCCAGTAAAACTGCTTGTACATTCGTTCTATGCAAATTAACCAGTAGTTAAAATAGGTTCATTCATAAATCACAGAGTGAATCTGGAAATACTGACTCACAATGTAACAGTTCTAGAGAGTGCTGGAGGAAATTAGGCCCCTTCAGATGGGTCCAATCACCACTGCCTGTCAGTTTTTCAGGCGGATCTGTTTGGAAGATCAGAGTTATTCTATGGGCAGCCGGATGTGAATGGACACGCGTCTGTTTACATCTGATTACCCCGGAAAACTAAACAGGACAGTGTTCCGTTTTGGCGGACCTGATTGTGACAGATTGGGGGTAATCTAATGTAAACAGACACATGTCCGTTTACATCCCACTCCCCATAGACCTAACATGGGTTCGGTAAGTTCAGTTTTTTCCTCCATTATAAGATCACAAAAATGGACGGACACAGATGTCACAACGGTGACATTCGTTCCATATTGCTCCATTTAGCAGGGGATCCATGCACAGATCTCCTGCTGAACAGAACAGATGGGCACCCATGTGAAAGGGGCCATAGCAGATACATGTAACCATTGCTACTACAGGGATCCCCGTAGTAGCAATGGTATAATTTATCTGCTGATGCCCTCCACATTCTCTAGAGTTTTTATGTTGTATTTGTTACCAAGATGTATTTATTACCTTTGATCTTCAGCTCCATTTAACGGCCATAATGTGGTATTTTCCCAATGCAGTATATGAATAATTTTTACTACGGTCCATAATATTCTAAGAACATTTGACCAGAAGAGAAAATTGCCTAAGGACATTCAATTTTGCCCCATTCTCACAACATCTGGTTAATTCACACAGAATGAATGTATATGCACCTTCCCTGGACGAAAAGCCAAGCCAAGTTTTTTTTACAAACAGACCCCAATGCGTTCTGGGGTTACACTGGAAACAATTGCAAGAAAAGCTCAATGCTGTTCTCACAAGCACATAGTAACTGCACCAAACTTCTTTTACTTTCTTGAGCAGAGGGGCTCAGGTTTCCACAATTGTTCCCCACTATAGAAGCTTTCTGGAGAGGCAGATCATAACATCAAATTTCACCAACTGGTCCATGGATTTGTCATTTTAAAGTGAATAACAGGCTAATCTCAACACCATATTCTGTGCAACATTTGGGTTAAGAAAAGTATGAACACCTGTGAATGGTCTACTACAACATCAGCCCATACATACAGCATTTCCACCATGCCCTGAGGTTTAGAAAATCTGGTACTGCCACATAAGTGGACAACACCTGTTCCCCCCACATTCCATTATCAGAAAGGTTTTCAACGTGGAAAAATAAAGCCAAAGACCCGTGTTATGCATAATCCTTTAAAGGCTTTGTGTCATAAAAAAATGAAATCACATTTGTTATAGCACAGAAACAACCCTTAATCCCAAATGCTACAAGATATCTGGCACACTTGCCAGACACATTTTACACATTCTGGTGGCAAAAAGATACTGTTACATGCCTGGCCAGAAGATATTAAAAGTCAGGCCAATGAATATGATCTGACAAGGGCCAAATACCTGGGGATTAAAGGATGGTTCATAGATTTGTGCTCATACAGCATATATTCTCTTTTCTGCAGGGAGACTTGAACTTTGCTCTCCTTCTGGAGTGTTTCATATAAATGATCATTAAACAGATCTAGAAGCTTAATAATTGTAGTTGCTTGGAAGGTAAAATGATCCGATGTTAACCTGCACAAATGAAACACCTTTAGATTGTGATACAAAATACCTTGTGTAGTTTAAAACTTTGTCAAACATTCAAGTGATAAAGTCAAAAGGTTTTTCAGCTATTCCAAATGCTGATTGGATGCTGCTTTTTTGTTGAAGTTTTTGTTTCCTGAAAAAATAAGCTGGTCCCCTGAGCACTGTACTGATATCCTGTTTCAGGGTGGCATTTTGCTCAAGCAGAATTCTATAGATCTATCATTGTGTGTGTTCGTACACTGTATGGGTCTCCACAAACAAACAGCACCTACTCCCTTCTACAAACTAGTAGATGTACCGCTGTTGGAGACTGCACTGTCTCTTGTGATCTCAGACAGGAAGGTCAGGGAAGCTGAGCTGAGAAACATGGAACCAGCTGTTCCAAAACATGGTGACTGTAAGTGTTTGGGCAAAAATGTAAAGAAATACTTTGTTGGGCAATGTAAATTTGTTTGATCTGGATTCACTATTGATAAAAAGTTTGAGAGTTTAATACAGTACTACTTTCAGTTTGTGTAAAGAAACAAAAGTTGGTCAAGTGGTTAGCAGTAGAAATCTACTAAAAAGCAAAAGAAAGCTAAGGAGGACTCAATGGGTAGCTGACTGGTATAAGAAGGAATGAAAGAATTACTTCCATAACTAGCTTGATTTACAAATGTAGTGTTAAGCCTAAACCCTCTGAGTGTGCTCATTACCATAGAGGTTCTAAGAGGTTATGGTAAGTGACAAATATAAGGGAACTAAATAATTTCTTCACAGCTTAGCAATTTGTAGGTATTAACAAATGGACTTGTTCTGGAATGTTGAAAATGTTTCCCCACTTATCTGAGTGGCTTCTTCAGTTCTGAAGAGTGTCAGGAACATACTGCAGGATTTATAGCCACACAGGTAGCTCAGTCACCTTAATCCAATCACCGTGGTTTACCATAGTCATCATCATGTTCTTGTACAATCAACATCTTCCTTGACACGTTCCAACATCATGGTAATTGGATTAAAAAGTGACCATAAAGCTATAAATGTTTGGGTATGCTTCTGATGGTCATTAGAAATGAGAAAGCCACTTGGATAAATAGTAAAAAAAACATCTTCAACATTACAGAACAAGTCCAGCTGAATGTGACTCACTACTTCCAGCTTTACAATGATCTGAATACATAAAAACTTTCAACAGACTTATCTTCACACAGTTAATAAGGCACAGCAAAAAGAGCTCACTTCCCAGAACTTTCACATGCAATACAATGTGAAATACAACACAAAACGTATTGCTGTAAAATAATTTGGACAATGGATGGTTGTACCCATTGAGCTTATGGACAGGACATGCACAGGACAAGGCTTTCAACACTTATACAATAAAACTAAAAAAAAAACAAAGCGAACCTAATAAACAGAGTAGGCACCATAAAAGTACTTTCCTTTAAAAACATCCTCCTGAGAGTGTCAGGGGAGCCACCCAAAGCCTACTAACTTTTAAGGTGTAAAGAAAGTGGATATTCAACTCATCCATGTCTTAATAATGGAAGAAATCAAAACAAATGTGTTGCTTTAAATCATTGTCATACGGAATACTCAAATGAATTGGATGTTACATTAAATACTATGGGTAGAACAAGGTCTTTGACAAGCACCCAAAATACATAGCCTTCCAAGCAACTTCAAACAAAGCAACTGAAACCTGTTCACATCTTGGCACTATCTGTTTCTCACAAATTTCAGAAGCAGGAAAACTATAACTGAAATAGCAAGTTACTGTCTGGTAACACTACTTACACCGTCCTATGGTTCTTCTGTTTGTAGTCCACCGATATAAGTCATTGAGATATTGCACACGCTACATGCAAATTCCGATATCATAAAACTCTATTAAGACAAGCCCTGGCTCTGCAGGTGCAATAAAACTACAAAATCCATGGCCTGCAAAGCATGCTGGGATTGGTAGTTTAATAGCAGCTGGAGTTCCACAGGTTGTAGCATGTAAACTCATCCAATATTAATACAGTAAATATTCAAGCTATAGTTTCCCTTTAACTAGCATTCTATCATAAAAGGCTTTGCAAGTCACTGCCTCCCTGCCAAAGAGAAACAAATGGAAAAAAAAAAGACATTTTGCGATGCTTTCCCATGCAATAACTGATTTTGGTGACATTTTGTTTCTTCTGATTAGAGTATCAGTTCCGCTTCTTGTTTTCTTTTAAAAAAAATCTACTTCTCCTCCACAAAAGTAAAATGCAAAGTGTGCGTGGATAAAAATAAAAGTGGTGTGACAATTTGGCATTACGTTCCTAGTGGAAGATATGTGATGTTTCCTTCTTTGTCCAAACAGACCTCTGCTTGCCCAGTGGTCTCCTGCTTGACTGTATTAGAAGGTGGATCCCTCCTGGTGCTAATGTCCTTTAGTGGTAGCGTCCTATCCGCGGCTAATTTTAGGTTATCAAAGTTCAAGACTTTTTTCTGCTTGGTCAGTGTGTTCTTGGATGGGAGTTCCAAGCGGTCTAGTTTGCTAGAAACAATCCTGCATGTATCTCCAGGAGAGGGTTGGTCAGCATCATCACTGCCCTGGGCTGATTCATCAGTAACTTGGGTCTTTGATTCACTGTTCTCCTCATCAACAGGACTTTCTGTGTCATCCAGCTCAGTGTCAGATTCCCCTTCCTCCTCCAGTGTCAACTCAAATTGGAACTTGTCTCCAGCTGTGCTCCCCCTGTCTGGGTCTTGATCGTCTGGTGGAGGGGATGGACTCTGAGGGATCATGCTATGATACCACTCTCTGTTATCTTCTAATGTATCCAGAATTTCCTGAGCATCAGGATGCACCAAGTCAGCCCATGTCTCCCACAGAGGATGCACAATGTAATCAATAAAACCCACCTATACAAAAAGAGAGACATATTTCAGCGTATAATATGCAATACTAAACACCAACTGCAGGAAATTAAGTACATAATGGCATAGTACATTTTTTAAATTCAGTAACCTCAATTCACAACTACCAGTACCAGGTAAATCCCAAGAGCCAAAAAATAAAACTAAAAGAAAATGTTAGGCACCAACAATAGAAACACTTGTTCCCTGACTCTTTAAAACTGAACTTCAGGCAGGTACAAAAGAGACACATTAATGCAGCTCTGTATTCAATATTACATCCTTGACTGTATGTTTTTAAATGCAAGCAGTGTAATTACCAGAATCTGACTCGGTATCATTCTCTTGCAGTCCCTGTATAGCAGCATTGGCCATACACCTATAGATTATCTGCAGATTTTCTATGGTCAGATGGAGAAAGTGCCACAGATTCCTCCATCTACGCTAAACTGTGTGGATGGAGTAATCTCCACCTGGGCCAAGCTTCCGTATCTTGTTAGTCGGCCCCGCTGGTTCTCAAACTACCTGAACAATCTGATTGGATGCAGGCATTGTTCAGGTAATTTGAGAGCCAGCGGGGCCGACTAGCAAGATAATGAATCTTGGCCCAGCGGGAGATTCCTCCATCCACACAGTTTAGTGTAGATGGAGGAATCTGTTGCACTGTTTCCATCTGACCATAGAAATATGCAGACAGACAATCAATAGGTGTATGGCCAGCTTTACAGAACTGCAGCAGAAAAAAAGGTCTATTGCCTGCTCAGCTCTGCTGTTTGGCAGAGCTGAGTACATCTAAGAAGTGCATTAACAAAATACAAATCTTGTGGCAGGTAAAACAGCTCCTTTATAGGTCTTCCATCTGTGTATTTAGCGATTTTAGCTTTAAGTGCCTTCTGGCTTCTACACCGGAACTACTGCCTACTGAAGTCTACATGAATAAATTCACCCCTGTCTATCGCACACTAATGGAACCAACCCTGCAAAATGAATGTAGCTTTCTATTACAACTGGTGCCACATCCACATGTTAGTAGTGGTTTTCTATGCAAGAGAGAAAAAAAACTGTACTGAGAGAAGGGCTGCAATTGTTGAGCACTCTTCCTGGAATGCTAAATGCATCTCCGTGTTGCTAATTTTCTAAACAAATATGCAAAATAGGAGTTTACACATGCTTCAGTTTTCCGTGGGTAAAAAAAAGAATGGTAGCCTCATCATGTATATATCCAGTTATTGCAGAATTGCTAGAAGCAGAATGTGCATTAATGCATACTTGCAGTCTTTCCATGTGCTACCAGACATTGTATAGCTGCAGCAGCAGGACCCTGGAAGCTCTACGATTGCTGCCTTGACCTGTTCTAGCTCAGAGGTCATGGGCTTTTTTTCATCTCCCTCTGTTGTATATAAGGACACTGCGCTCTCTGTAAAGGGTTCTGTGTGTTATTGTGCATAGACGTATTTGTAATATCACTTTCCTTTCCATCCCATCTACCTATTCAGGACAAGAAAATTGTCCTTAAAGGCCAACCCCACACTATCCCCCGATGCTCATCCTTGCCCTGTTTACCTGCTGCTCTGTTAGTCTATGGGAGCCATCAAAAATGTACAGTACTTCTGGTAATGGGAAAGCATGTGACCCTTTCTCCCAGGATGTAGTGCATGGGGACTTTACAGGCAACACCAACAAAAACACATTATAATTCAGTGGGCTAAGGTTTAAAACATCTGTCTGGTTTTTATTGTTCTCTGTCTTCTTGTCATTCATGATTTTCCTTCACTACAAGACATAAGTCCTTGGCTGATGGCAGCACATCCTTCAGCAGCTTTATAATACAGAAAGCCTTAGATAAGTATATCCACTCCACTTATTTCTCTCTACAGACACATTTCTCTGCAGTAAACAGTACCTACACAACACTGAACATTATATACCTCTTCTCCCCCTACAAATCACCAGTGTCTAATACAATTATAAATATATTTAACAGAACTGCAACATACCTGTGATTTCTCAACAGAAGCATTGTGCTTGTCACACATGGGACTAATTTCCATTCCCTTTTCCCGCTCTCTGTCACCTTGATGGAAGAATTCAACGATGATCCGATCTGTCCACTGACGATACAGCTCTAAAGGTTTGGTGGGATTGCTGAGGTCTGCACAGTGGACCATGTTCTGAAGAACCTAGAAAAAAACAAAACAAATGGATATTTCAGATCTTCAAAAGTCCGCCAGATAAAGTCCCAAATAATCATAAATTTTATTAAGCATCCCTTTTATGTAATTTTGCTGCATACCATCACGTCTGCCCTTTCTGAAAACAAAACATTATTAATGGTCTCCCTATTCCTTTGCCATTGATTGTATGGCTCTACTTTTTTTCAGTGCTATGTAGCGCTTGTTTAACATGCATCAACACAACGGACATCAACGCAAAGCAGAACCAATACCTTATATAGCCTAGTGTAAAAATTAAACAAAAAAAACGCAATGCAAGTTAACCTCCTATGCTAATGTAAGTGAACTCACCTGCATTAAGTCACATCCAATGCACACATCTCAGTGTGAATGCACCCATAAGGTCCCCACACACCTTACGATAATCGTACGATAATCGGGGAAATCCCGCGATCGTACGATTATCGTAAGGTGTGTGGAAGCCGTGCGACCTCTACTACTGTAAGGTCGCACGACTTTTAACTTACGGACATGTTCGAAAACCGGCCGAGCATCCTACTATGTTCGGCGGGTTTGTGGCATGTCCGTACGATAAAAGCCGTACGGGCCGGTGTGCGCAAGCGCACACTGCCCGTTCGGCATTGCGGTCATCGGAAGCCCGCCCATCAGGGTGCGTGGCTTGCGATCATCGCAAGTACGATCTGCCTATGCAACATAGGCAGATCGTACGTTTTTTTAAGTACCTTACAACCATCGCAAGACAAAAGTCTTGCGATGGTTGTAAGGTGTGTGCCCAGCCTTAGAGATAGGTGTTAGACATCGCCAGAATCTCTGTGAGCTAAATATTTGCTTCAAAACTGTGAGTTAGCCAAGTAAACATTGCAGATAAGACTTAAAACAATTTCCTGATTTTAATTGGGTTAAAGTTCTTTAATGTGAACCTGTGAGGTGATAACAATAATTTGTAATTGACTGCTTGTTGTGCCTGTAAGTCTATGCGTTAATCCCCAAACTGGGTTTCAGTGAGCTGGGTAGCTTAGGATTCCAGATCAGCATGCTCTACCCCTGAGCATTCAACAGTTATTTGTGGCAGCCTTTGTGGCCACAGGGGCTTTACTCTGAGATGGGCTCCATGCTGAGCAGAAGCTGAGGCAGTATACATCGGCTTGGAACCAGGGGCTTCCCTGGCCCACAGAAAACAAGTTGGTGGTTAGCAAATGTAAATTACATTAAGTCGGTCTCATGCAGCACATTGAAAAACCCATCTAAAAGGTGCCTATACACTGCTCGATTCTCGTATTCAGTGGGGCGGGCTTTCGATGATCGCAAGTACGATCTGCCCGTCCAAGGTGGGCAGATCGTACGAGCTTTCAATAAGCATACGACCATCGCAAGACAAAAGTCTTGCGATGGTCGTAAGGTGTATGGGCACCTTAAAGTTCCAAATATTTTTTGAGGATAACTGAGGCATGGGACTCTGGGAGATTTCCACTCTCCAGCTGCCTTCTTGCCATTCGTTACTGCTGTATACTTTTAACTAGGAATGCACCGAAATGGAATTTTAAGACCGAAACGAAAGAATTTGTCAGGCCAAAACAGAAAAGGACTTTTTTTCCATCTTTTAACATTTTTTTTAAAACTATTTTATTTCTTTACTTTACTTTCGGGGCTCTAGGGAAATATCAGGGATCTAAACAGACCCCTGATATTTCCCTTTTAAAATAGAAAAAGAGATTGAAGACACAGAGTCCTCAATCTCTTTTTCTGCAGCCCCAGCACTGAATGAACAAGAAGCCTCTATACTGAGTGTTCCTTCATACATTGTGGATATAGGGTACATTGTGGATATAGGGTACTTACTATGTCCACAATCACAAATGAATAGTAAGCGATACAGATTACTTTCCATTCATTCATAACTGGACATAGTAAGTACACTATATCCAGTTATTTGCAAACACTCAGCGATCAGCTGATCGGTGAGTGTTTGTATGCCGCTGTCCGGCCTGAATCGACTGTCACAGGTGGGGGCGGGCGGTGTGGGAGGAGAGCTCCATTTCCTGTGATAGACCACATCGATCTCCTCCACTCACCGCTCTCCATCCTGACACAGGAGGTGGAGCCGGGAGGTGCGAGTGGAGAGCTCCGCCTCCTATGACACATCACAGCTGTCACCGCATCACTCTCCATCCTGACAAAGGAGGCCGAGCCGGGAGGTGCAGGAGGAGAGCTCGGCCTCCTGCAACGATTACAGCTGTCAACGCCTGAACCACTCGGCATCCTGAAAGCTTCTCCCCTCCCCGCTGGGCTCTGCATTAGAAGGCACACAGTCCGACGCCCAGCGGGGAGAAGAGAAGCTAGGGATACACTGAATTTTCGGCCGCCATGGCACTTTCGGCCTTTTGCCAAAAGTGCCATTTTCGGACAAAATGTTTAGGCGGATCCTTACTTTTAACTCTATTCCATGCATTGGTAATTTGGAGTAGTGCCATCTAACACCAATTATCTATTTTTTAGTTTTAGATAGAGTGGAGACAAGATAAAATCTCTGTCAGGTTTGTATCCCACGTTTGTGACTCCAATGGGGAGATTTCCCATCACTTCCTGCCCCTGTGTAGCCCATACAAGAAATGGAGTGCTGTTAACACAGAGACAGGAAGGCACAAACAGCAATTAATACATTGTCAGAGGTTCTAACCCTTCACTGTGCTACAAATCATCACTCTCTTTTGGAGAAACTTTCCATCACTTCCTGTTCTGTGGTAAAATCTGGTTTGTATAATCTGCTGAGTTTAGAATCTGAACAAGTAAGTAGCTATTAAAGTATCAGGATATATCACTGACCCACCAGCTAGTGAAGGAAGGATACAGATAATAGCTACAATACTTCTAGTCTACCATGCTGCTTTAAATACTGTTTGATAGCCAGAATTAAGGTCCACGACAGAAATCCAAAATCTTGTGCTTTCCATTGTTTTAAATATGTCTAAACATTTCTTTTTACCTGGATGCGATCAGAGTAATTATCCAGTAACAGGACACCCAAACTAGTCACTTTCTTTGTTTCCACCATAGTCTTCAAGTCAGCCAGTAAATTCATGTGTTTAGACATATCTGTAGCCAGCACCTAGAAAGGAAGAAAATATACTCAAAGCTGAGCAGATAAAGAGAACCACTCCCCATTGGGCATTTTTATATTCAGCATCATATTATGATAATGGTGGAAGCTTACTCATTGCTCATATCTATCTGATGCTTTATTAAGATGTATTTATCTGGGCCAGACCTTTCAGATCGAAGCTGAACTCCAGTCAAAAGAAGAAGACCTGTCACCACTAAAGTGCTATTACGCAGGGGGCTTGTGAGACCCCAATGTGATAGCAATAATACAATACAATGAATTAATACAATAATTATACAAATTATATATATACATATTAGGGATACACAGATACCAGTATTGGTGCCAATACTGAGCATTTTCACAAGTACTCGTACTTGTAAAAATGCCCCAATACCAAAAACGGATACTGGTGCTTTAATTTTACAAATTGATTCGACTACCTTAGGTCCCACGCTTGCTGGGGACCTCGCGGCTGCCTTCTTAGCAACCACGCAGCATCTGTTGGCAGCGATTCCGCCACCAGGACATCTCCCCCTGCTGAGACCCTCCACACATGGACTTCCCTTCCACCTTTTTATTCTACAGGGTCTCTGCTTTTAGGAAATATAAAATTGGGGGTGGGGGGGTTAGGTAATCTTCAGGCCTAAAATGAAATTTTAACATGTGCAAAGAAACGCAAAAGTGCCTCTGGCAAAGAAGGGGTTAAAGCAGGGTTTGGCCTTTCTGATAAAGTGCCCCCTTTACCATAAAGCAGGCACCTCCTACTCTGGCATGTCTCCTCCTGCCTCCAAGAGCTTCACTGGCTAACAATGAAGGAGTGAAAATGTGGCAGACTACAACCACAGGGTTTGAGGGGTGCCTGTGCGATGATCCAGGGGTCACTTTAGGTAGGTCAAGCCTGCAGGATTGTTTTAGTCCACATTTCAAGGTTGACAATGCTTTTAAAGACATAAAAGGTTTCAGTGAATTCATTAACTGATCTGTACCGTGCAGCGCCCTCCTTAAAATGTTCCCTATGGGAAATTTTGGGTATTGACGTTTTTTTGCGGCTTCACGGGCGAACACAATTTTAAGGCGTGACATGTTTGGTATCTATTTTATATATATATAATTGTTTGGGGGTTTGAAGCTGTTTTCTAGCCAGAAATGTATATTTTATCATGAAAGCACAAATAGTAAGAAAAATGTCTATTCTCAGTGGTATAATTTTGAGAGCCATTTTAGGAATTCTCATCTACATATATCTGCATTAGTCTTCTTCCCTTTAAGCAAACTCACCTCCTACCTGTTTGAAATATTACATGTCATAGATACATTTATTACTGCACTGGTAGAAAAAGAGAACAGAGTGATGCAAAATATGTATACTGTATGCTAAATGGACAGCATAGACACAACATTGGGACAGTTCATTCTTTTTTAAGATGCAGCTCTGAACTGTTTGGCAAATAATGTTTTTTACAAAATATCACTGCGACAAATCAATTTGTAAATACATGAACAGCAATTCCTCACTGCAACCCATTACTAAGTTTTCTGTATACACTTCCTAGTGTACTAGTACATTCCAAAAATTTTTAACACCACCCTTTTCTCCGAGCGTTAGACTTCACAAACAAATGTTTTAATAATGATCCCTTTCTTGTAACTGTAGAACAATTATAAACTCGTATCCTATTGCTGTTGGCCATTTAGTACACCTGATTAGGTCACTGGGGATCAGTTTTTCTTGAACGTCAACCATAGTTTCCCTTGTAAAGATATACAGATCATATAGCTGTACCTAGGTACAATACTTTATTGCTCAACAGCCATTGCCATTTTCAAACAGACCACTATACTATTATGCTGCATAGGTTTGGCAATAGAGGTTTTTATTTCCAGACTTTCAAAACAAAGGCAGTAGAATATCAACAAGAGCAGCATCCTATCTATTAATTGAATTTGTTACGTTCAAAGTAATGTATGCAGCCTCAGTTCTGGGGGAATGCAAGCCCAAGCACATAAGGTTGACAGTTGCTTTTTAAGCTGGAAATACTGTGTAAACTGAATGTCCTTCTGTCATCTAAAACCTCAACAGTTTCTAAGCAGGTCAATAATTGGTGTAACATGTAATAATACAGTAAATGCCTCGTTGCTACCATGCAGGCCGACAAACCACCTAAGCATTATGTGAGCACTGGGTCACCTGGGTTATCAAACAGAAGCTACAAACTTAACGTTTACCCAATTAATGAACATTTTGATGGAAAGTAATAAGCAAGAAAAAAGGTGCAGAGCAATGGATGACTATTGTGTAACGTGATTTATGAGCAGGTTAACACATAACCTGTTCAACATATAGCTCAGATATCAAGCAGAGACATTTAAAAAGGTAAGACTAAATATAATCTGCATTAACATACCATGTCAATAACCATTTTCCGTAAATTCTGGCGCTGCTTCTTAGTCAGGTTCTGAAAAATGTCACAGTTTTCGTCTTGAAGGAGCTTAAATCCTACCGCCAAATGGTGATTTTCTAAAACGGAGGCATCATTATACATCAGTGCCAACTCAGAGTCTGAGGAAGAAAACAGCGAATTAATATATATTAAAGTAGGCAGAAAAAGGCGAAGAACACACACACACACAATCTATTGATATATACACACGTATATAGGCATACATCCTAATACTCTAAATGTCTAATACTCTAAATCAGAAATCCAGATTTATCAGGCAATAGGTTTCCTAACCTAAACAGTCTGGAATTGGTGACCCTGTCCCCATATTTTCTTGCAAGTTGACAATTGCATACTGCTATTGTAAAAATTGATTTGTCAAAAAGCTTATGAGGTTTTATTATCAGAACTGCCACTCATTGGATGCTTTTTGCACCCATAAACTCTACAGACTGTGGCAATCCCAATAGTCACAAGAATCTGCTGCTGCTAACAGTTTAAGTAGCTTAGATCATCCTTCTCTTCCATTTTAACATTTGGTTGTACAACTCTACATCTTGACCATTACTGTATGCGTTAAAGCTGAACTCCATGCAGATGTCATAGAAATGATTGCAGCTCTGTACTCATGAATACATCATTACTTGGATCTCTCCATATTCCACTGAGGGACACCGCTCTGAAGATTTCTGAGACATAGGGTTATGCTGCTGCCTTCAGGAGAAATGGGCACTAGGCAACAAAGTAAAAGCCTGACACTTTAAGATCATAACCGCTCCCACCTGCCAGTTTCACTTAGTGTCCTTAGGAGACACTGCTTCTCTACTGCTTTTTTATTTTGGTTTGTTTCGTTTCTTCTGTAAAATTCTACTATTAAAAAAGAGCTGCTAGCTGATTCATACTGGATATTATTTAATCCTGGAAGTTTCTCTAGCTAGCCAACAAAACTGAGATTCATGCCGGATAAGTTAAACCCCAGAGGTTTCTCTAGTTGTCACGATGCAGGTTGTTTCTAGTTTCAGTACTGATGATTCGTCCTCCCTTAACAAGCATAAGAAATGCCCCTAATCTTCCTCTCCTATAGCCCTGGCTGAGGAGATGCCGGATACTTCCAGTTTAGATGGAGCTCTTTCAGATGACTCTTTATCTGATGATGAATCCTTATGGCCTTGGAGGAGGACATTACTCCAGCTGCTGATTTTCAGTCACCTATGGTATCTCAACAGCAGAAAAAAAATGGTCTTTTTAATTTAAGCTGTTTCTTTGCTTTAAATTTAGAGAATTCTGTAGTTCTGCAGTTTCTACCCCTTCTGCAGTATCTAGTTCAGATTCTTTTAAACCCGCATCTGCACCTTTATCCTATCTTTGGTAGATTTATATACAATATTGAGAATCTCTGGATAAACGGTTTCAGTCACTTTATTCTTTTATTGACAGTTTATTATTATTTATTGACGATACTAAACTATGTAGAGCAGAAAATTCCAAACAGGAGATAGTGGACTTCAACAAGACCTAGATAAAATTGAAGCATGGGCTACACATTGGCATATGCAATTTAATATTGAAAAATGTAACGTTATGAACATGGGTGCTAATAACGAGTGCGCAAACTACCATCTGGGGGGTCTGCATTAGGGAAGACAGACATGGAAAGGGACCTGGGGGTGCTCATAAATCACAGGTTTGTCAAACAAAGCTAACATGATACTGTTCTGCATTAAAAGAGGTATTGTAGCAAGGGATAAAAGAATAATACTTCCACTTTATAAATCACTAGTTCGGTTTCATCTTGAGTATGCGGTGCAATTGTGGTCGCCAAATCTCAGGAAGGACGTCCTTGAGCTTGAGCAAGTTCCAAAAAGAAGGGCCACAAAATTAGTTAAAGGGATAGAAGATCTGAGCTATGAAGACCGCCTCCAACAATTAAACCTATTCTCCTTAGGAAGGAGCCGATTAAGAGGGGACCTTATTGCAGTCTTCAAAATTCTCAATGGGAACCACAATATTGGGAAAAAGTTTTCACTGAAAATAGTATTGAGAACTCGAGGCCACAACAAGAGTTAGAAGGGGTTCAATCTTAGAACACTCAAGGTTTTTTTTTTTTACTGTGCGAGTAGTAAAAATGTGGAATTCCCTTCCACAGGCAGCGGTATTCGCTGATAGCGTAGATAAGTTTAAGAAACTGCTGGATGAGGCTCTTCAGTCACTAAATATACAAGGATATGGGAAGTGTTCATACATATACAGTATATACACACACACACACACGTTGAACTGGATGGACATTGGTCTTTATTCAACCTAACCTTCTATGTTATTATTACTTTCCGAATGATTTTGTTTTTAAAAAGTGGTCCTCTTGAGGTTGACTCTCCTGTTTCTCACATTAATATGGCTTTGACTATTCCTATTGATGACGCCCCTTCATTTAGAAACCATAGTGATAGGAAATTGGAAATGTTTGCTTTGAAAACCAGTGTGGCCACAGTACTGAAAACCTTACTGGATTTTGGATGGATTCTAAACATCGACAAATTGGCCCCGATTCTTTCACATCACCTGAAGTGCTTGGCTCTTCTTTCCAATGCATCCCTGGCCAAGTTTTTCTTCCCCAGGACAATTCAGCCAAGTTGGAGAGTCAAATTCACCTGCTTCGTTCTCATCGACTGTCCTTCATATGCTCATGCATGCGAGTTCTAGGTGTAATGATGTCCACCTTCAAAGCAGTTCCGTTTGACCAGGATTCCTCAATAAAATATTCTCATATGGTAGGACCAATCTCTCTCTCCAGACAAGATGATCAGGTTGAGTTCCTGAACCAGGATCTCTCCGCCCTGGTTGATAATGTTCCCTGCCTTGACTTTGATTGTGTAAGTCTCTTTTGCCATAAAAATATCTTCCTACCATTTGGCAATTTTTTTTTCAGTACACACAGACCCAGCATGCCAAGATGAAGTAACTCCCAAACACATGCATGGGAGTTATGTCTTTTGGGGCCCAGTCAATCAAGCGGCCGAACACTTAAAACTGGGAAGATGACTGGGGAGAAGCACCAGTGAGGGAGGACCGAATCACTGGAAAAGATCAGTTTGGAAGGTAAGCCTGCCATAATGTGCTAAAATGCTGTGCATACAAGCACATTGCAGCTAGAGACCCCTTTTTTTTTTGTCCATGGATTTACTTGAGTTTCATTTTTATCTTGTTATTTTAGGCTGAGGTTCTGCTTTAGTAATACACTACAGACAAATGGCTATTACTGTAAACAAACAGGTACACTTAAAGTGGTCAATCAATGTTTATATAAAGCAGTACACATGCACGACCATGTTGGTGACCGACAAGTTACATAATTACAGTTCTATTGGAAGCAGACAGATTATTTCTAAAATAATGCAGAAAAGAAAAGTCACTTTAAACTGCGGTCATACTCGCAAAGACACTGTGACACAATGGCAAGAAAAGACATCCAAATGTGCCACTTACTGGTATTAATAAGAAACTGATTTGACACTCCTGGGTGATCCACGTCATGAATAGCACTAGCAAAGATGGCAGCCAAAATTTCCAGATCTGTGAACACAGCCTGCAGGAAGATTTATAAAGTAAAACTTATGATCTAAAATGTCCACCATAACAAATTCAAGAGTACAGGTAGTCTCACATGTTAAACTGGTGGTGTAATTCAAGTATGTCTTTAGCGGTTTGTCTGAAGTTCATTAGCTTTGCTTGGATGGAAAGAGAGTAATAAAACTACTAAAATCCTTTCCTGGAGAAATTCTGTTACATGCTCCTTCTAGTGCTGGCAACTGGACCCCAACACAGACGGCGGATAATGACCCATCACTTCCCGAGGTTGCCTGGCATCTTGACCAATCAGGAAGCTGAACGTCGGGTCATAAGGTGCCGTCCAGGTTGCTGATTGGTCAGGAAGCCAGGCTGCCTAGCAACAAGTGATGCCAGCTTCCTAGCCAATAAGGAAGCTGGGCGGCAAGTCATGACCTGCCTCCCGGCTTCCTGATTAGAAAGGGAGCCAGCCCCATGCTCCCTCGGCACTGCCGGTTAGAGGGAGAGCTCCCTCTGGACAGAGGTTCCGGTATCAGAGCATTTGGGCGAGTACGAGTATCGGTGCATCCCTAATTATATATATATATATATATATTTTCTCTTTACATGCATATAAGATGTTCTGCTGCAGACAGCATGCTGACTGGGCAGACTTGTGGTAGTAGGTCCCACATAACTCCCGCCCAACCTACTGAACAGCCTAGTACTCCACAGCAATAGACACCAATTGCACTCTTGTATGCCTGTAGTATCTGGACACTAAGAGCTTAATTCATTTTAAAGCATGATTAGCACTAGCAATAGGGCATTAGAATAGGGAAGGGTTAAAACCTGTCTTTTTTAAAAATTATTTGCCATCTGTGTTTCATTAGGGAGAGTCTTCACTTTCTGTCCTAAGGACTGAACAGGAGGTGAGAGGCTTTCATTCCAATTTGAGGAATATCCCTGCTTAGAGAGAGCGGTCATGGAAACAACTGTCCCCAAACCCTGTTCTGGCAGCAACTCAAAATTTTGGATTTACCCTTATTTTCATTCCTAGTGACATTGGTGATCAGGTCAGTTAGAGATGGTGAATCTCTATAACAGGCACACAGACAGTAATACAAATCTAACACTGGTTAAAACCCTCTATAAAAAAAACAGTTTTGCCCTTAGTTATACTTTAAAACACAATCTGAAAACACTCCCTGTCTAGATCCACAGTCTCTGATGGCGCCATGGACCCAGGCCGGGAGTGTTTTAATAAAGGGACTATAAAGCGGACATTGGTGTGTGGTGGACACACCAACATTCAACAGTACTTGGAAGCAGGGTACAAGCTCATTAGCCAGAGAGGCTTTTGGAGCAGTATTAGCCTTTGTGTATTTGATATAAACATGTTTTTTTCAGGTCCCTGACTTGACAAGGAGGAATAAAGATGACAGTTGTAAAGTTTACACCTTAAAAAAAAAAAAAAAAAAAAGGTCACCAATGGCAGAGCCTATATTTCCATCCTGAAAGGTTCCATTAAGTTAATTTGTTTTTTATTAAAAGTGCAAATACACGTCTAAAACAGCACAATTGAAAACAAACATATTTATATCTTTTGTTTGATGCTCTGTGTTGTGATTTTGCACTCTCTAAGATGTGTCCTGGCACTGCTGTCATTTTGTGCTACTAAACGGTGTTGCAATTTTCTAGAGAGCTACCATTTATTTTAGTACCATTGCAGTTCTCATGCAATCCTTTCATATCTTCATGGAATCCTTGTGGAAGTCTCACAAACACTTCAATATAAAAGCAGAACCTAACAGCAAGAAAAGTGCAAATTTGCATCTGATTTAGTTTTGAACAAATCAACCATCATCTAAAATAAAATATTAGGTCTTACTTATTCAGGTTTATTGGTCCTTTTAATGGAAACTAACTGCATTACTTGTCAAAAATGCAAGTATGCACTAGGCATCCAATATACTGTCTACATGCAAAAGAAACCAGAACTAGCAGAGTGTTTACGCTCACCAGTATTGCTGCGTACTACACAAGAATTGGGCAGCATACTCAGAGAGAAGTGTAGATAGGCTGGCCAGGATTCACTACCCAAATCCCCTACTTTTGTCTCTGAGTACACTGCCTTTTCCCTATGTCAGTGTGCAAGAATGCCAGACTGCACCAGCCATATAAAGGCTAGGCAGCTGGAAGAAGGGTCACTACTGCAAAGGTACCCATTTATATTTATATTTTGGGAGCAAAGTCAGATGCCTAACACAGCCCTGCTGTGGTTATACTTTAATGATAAATATACAATATGCACAAAACTCTAAACTGACCTCCAGAGCAGGAGTGGACAAAAGGACATGGGTGGACTGGGCCACATCTGCTGCATGGATGTTGTTATGATAAGCGACATCTGCGTGGTAATGATCCTCCAGTGTCATCATGTATGTAATGAAAGTGTCTGAAGGAATCCTGAAGGTCTTCAGAAGGTCTCTTTCCTGAGGGGCAAAGAGACAGTTAATAGGCAAAAAGGTTTTCCATTCTCTCTTAAATTGCTTGTGAAACATAAGCAAGTGTGCACCATAAACTGAATGCATATACACATCAACAATGTCTCTATATCGAACATGAAACCTCCACACGTTTACTAGTTACTAAAGTAAGATAAATGTATTCACATCCACACCTACAGTACATTGCTCACACGCAACTTGACTCTAAGGCCTTGTTCACACCAAATGCAGAGAAGATCCGGTCAGGTTTCTGCACACGCACGCTAGTCTTTTAGATGCGTTTTTTGACGCGTTTATGATGCGTTCCGGTCTCTTTTTGGTAAAGTTTAAAATGGGCTTTCAGTGTGTTCCAGTCATTGGCATGCGTCTTTGATGCGTCCCAGAGCAGGTCTTCCTAGAAACAGCTATGCTTGGGTATTCAGGGATACTTGGTAGACATACAGGAGCTGGGGAATGTGGCTGAAAGCACATCTAAAAATACTAAGCTGACATACCAGGGGAAAAAACACAAACAAGGGGCGCCTTTCCTGGCGCAGGCAAATTTATTTAAGATAAAAACAAATAGTGGATGAGAAACATACTCACAAAAGGTCGACATGATTAAAGCATTGTAAGTGGATACATGGACCAAAGAAGAAGCCAGTGTTAGCTGCACAGCAGCTAACACTGGCTTCTTCTTTGGTCCATCCACTATTGTTTTTATGTTAAATAAATTTGTCTGCACCAGGAAAGGCACCCCTTGTTTGTGTTTTTTCCCCAGATTTTGCAGTCCCCGTGGCTGGTTTGGGGCAGCGTCCTGCAGATTTTCTATTACATCCCTCTCTTTTAAAACAGACTTTGCACTCAATTGCACACTTTTTATTCTGGTGGAGCAGTCCCATTTGGCGCTTTTTTTGCACATATCTAAGCTGACATGCCAGGTGTAACGTTACTGAGGCAGAGGATAATGAATGGAAACTACTAGCTTTAGAGGCAGGCAGCTCTAAGCTCCAAGGCTGGGTTCACACCTAGGTGTACGGAATATGCACGTTTGTCGCACTTTTCGGGCCGCGCGTTTTTACCGCGATTTGCGGTAAAAGAAACACGCGACAAACGCGCGTTTCCGAGGGCTATCCGGCTGTATCCTAATGGATATGCGCGGCAAATATGCCCCAAAGAAGCTCCTATACTTCTTTGGTCGTAGGGCGTTTTGCAGCGTGATCCTACGCGCTGTAAAACGCCCAGGTGGGAACCAAGCCCATAGGCAATCATTGGTTTTCACATATTGAGTGTTTTACAGCGCGTAGGAACGCGCTGTAAAACGCCCAGGTGTGTACCAGGCCTAAGTCTGAGTGCAGACTTACAAAGGCCTGTGCTGAACAGACTGCAGCCCTAAATAACATGACATCAACATATCACGCTACCCCCAAGCTCAGCCAAACTTGAATTGTGCATGCACAGTGTTTATTTACCGGCAGAGGGGATGTTTTTACTGGCGCTTGCTCCCTTCCAAGGACTTTAACAGATAGGTAAAAAACAGGAACAAACAGTCAGTAAATGAATGGATGGATGGCAACCTTGACTTTGTAAATGGAGCTTGTAGGGGAAACCAAATTCCTATGCGTGTTCATACATCATATACCAACACTATTTGACCTGCTTATTCAGTTAAGTGGGTCAAAGGAAAATGGTGAGAGCATCATCACTAGGGGAAAAAGCGGCCTGTTCCCACATACTTAGGAGTTGGGCTGGGCTGTGTTAAAATTTATAATGAATAACACTGTATGAAGGTTGAGAACTGGATAAACTGTGGGTTTAAGGTTCTGAGAATGCAAGCCATTTTTTTTTTCTTAATCAATTTATTTTTGTTCTTTGGTTGAACTTGTTGAAAATGTAACTTTTTTTAATCTTAAATATAAAAGTAGTTGTTGAAAAAAAAGAAAAGAAGAAGAGCTTTATAAGAAGGAAACTGGGTAAGCAAAATCTATTCTCTACTAACAAGTTAAAGTGTGTTTTCACATTTTCAGCCAAATTGGGATAACGCTCATTTTATATTTGTTACTTGTTCACATTCACATAGCATAAGTTAAAAAAAAAAATTCTTCTTGAAGTTTAAACTGCTCTTACTCTGGTTAGGGTTTTAAGGGCTAGCATTTCTATTTGCTTATCTTTCTTTGCAATGTTAGGAGAGGCTGTGAGGGGTCTGAGGTGGTTTGCTCATTGTATGTTAATTAAGTTAATGAGAGAACCACAATCCTCAAATTTCAGTCTATGTCTTTCTACAAGGACAGATCACCGTGAAGGTGCTGAGAAAAACTTGAAATCAGCCGTCTTACCTGCTTTAACAAAACATCTAAAAAGGTAACAATTTTTTTCTTTATGCTGTGTGAACAGGAACACATAACAAGCATTTAGTAGGGTTCTCTCAAATCTGACTGCAAAATACACTTTAAGGTCGCTGAAGAGAGTTTAGTGTAAAAAAATAAAAAAAAAAAAATCTTACACAATGGCAAGACTAATTAATCAGTCACTATGTCTTGTTGCTATGTTCAAATGAGTAAAGTACATTTTATCAGAAAAGGAATGGGGAAGAATATATACTATGGCACATTGTTCTGTTACCTCTTAATTTTATCAAGAAAAAAAAACCTATAAAATATTGTCCAGATGGTATAGATGTCCAGAAGGAATTAACCATTTAATCCCAGAAATATCTGATAGATGTTGGAGACGTCAGGTGGAGGAGGGAACTTATTTGCATATCAGGTGGAGTTGCCCTAGAATACAGCCGTTTTGGGAATCAGTATTTGAGGCATATCGTAAGGTAGAAGATACAAATATTGAAAGTGACCCACTAATTGCGCTATTGTCATTGATCCATGGCCCCATAAAAATTATAAAGAATGATATTTTATTTTAGATTGGATGTGAGATAAGAATTGAGGTAACTGTGACAAAGCTATGGTGAGAGATATTATCAATGTATGTTTATGGATAAGAATGAAAGGGATAGTAATAGAATGGATTGTGTTTAACAAAAAGATATGCTATTTATGTTAACTACACAGTAAGAGGAAATTTTATATATTTATTTTTATGAAAATGTGTAAATGTATTAATGTGAAATAATAAAAATATATTAAACAAAGTAAATTTCCCTTTGCAAGGGAGTATTCACTTTCCTTAGTGAATGTGGTGAAAAAGTCACTTTGCAAAGAATATTCAATCATGTGCAAAATGTAGAAATTAGGCTTTTTGAATGCACATGATTGAATTATCGTGTATCAGCACAGCTTGATACTTTACACCTTTAGTAAATCAGCTACATGGAGTGATCATACTGCATCAACAAGGTCTCTCACAGGCAGAAATTTCAAGGCAAAGAAATGTGTCCAGATCTGCTGTCCAAACTCTTCTGCAGAAGCACCAAGAAACAGGCAACACTGAGGACCAAACACCCAGTGGTTAGCCAAGGAAACTGACACATCATGCTGACCTCCTTTCGTAATCAGCAGATATCCAGTGGCACTGTCACACTTGCCAAAAAACAGCAAGACCTTGGTACACCCATCTAATGCCCTGAGGAGTGTTGTCAAAAGTCGTCTTCGTGGCAGACTTAAATGATAAGTCCTAATTTGGCTTTAAGGAAAGGCAGATTGTTTGCCGAAGGCCTGGAGCATTTCTGCGCATAGAGTTGCGGATTTGGTCAGAATTATGGATCTCCTGAATGCTGAAATGTACAGGCAGATACTTTTCCATCATGCAATACCATCAGGAGAGCATCTGATCAGTTCCAAATTCATTCAGCAGCAAGACAATGACCCTAAACATGCGCCCATAATTATAAAGAACTATCTTCGGGAAAAGAATAATAATAATTAATCCTGGAAGAGATATGGACAATTTAGAGCTCTGAACTCAACAACATTGAATCTGTCTAGGATTAAATGAAGAGACAGAGGCAACTGGGACAGGAACAGTAGTTAGTTCTCCTAAATGTTTGGAACAAGGTACCTGATGAGTTCCTTAAAAAAACTTACTGTTTTCTGTTTGTGCACCTTGTAGGTATTTAATTGATAAAAACTACTCATTGGATTATCTGTTAAAGCATCCTCACAGCACTTATTGTTGCACAGTATTGTTTGTATCCAATATACACTGCTCAAAAAAAATAAAAGGAACACTTTTTAATCAGAGTATAGCATCAAGTCAATGAAACTCCTGGGATATTGGTCAGGTCAGTAGCAGAGGGGGTTGTTAATCACTTTCAGCTGCTTTGGTGTTAATGAAATTAATAACAGGTGCACTAGATGGGCAACAATGAGACGACCTCCATAACAGGAATGGTTTTACAGGTGGAGGCCACTGACATTTTTTTCCCTACCCATTTTTTGTGACTGTTTTTCACTAGTTTTGCATTTGGCTAGAGTCAGTGTGACTACTTTTAGCATGAGGCGATACCTGGATCCTATAGAGGTTGCACAGGCATGCCAAGTCCTCCAGGATAGCACATCAATACGTGCCATTGCCAGAAGGTTTTCTGTGTCTTCCAGTCTCAAGAGCATGGAGGAGATTACAGTACACAGGCAGTTACTCTAGGAGAGCTGGACAGGGTCGTAGAAGGTCCTTAACCCATCAGCAGAACCGGTACCTGCTCCTTTGTGCAAGGAGGAACAGGAGGAGCACTGCCAGAGCCCTACAAAAAGACCTTCAGCAGGCCACTGGTGTGAATGTCTCTGACCAAACAATCAGAAACAGACTTCATGAGGGTGGCCTGAGGGCCCGACGTTCTCTAGTGGGCCCTGTGCTCACTGCCCGGCACAGTGGAGGTCGATTGGCATATGCCATTGAACACCAGAATTGGCAGGTCTGCCACAGGCGCCCTGTGCTTTTCGCAGATGAGAGCAGGTTCACCCTGAGCACATGTGACAGACGTGAAAGGGTCTGGAGAAGGAGAATGTTATACTGCCTGTAACATCATTCAGCATGACCGGTTTGGTGGCGGGTCAGTGATGGTCTGCGGAGGCATATCCATGGAGGGACGCACAGACCTCTACAGGCTAGACAATGGCACCCTGACTGCCATTAGGTATCGGGATGAGCTCAGTGATGCCCTGGTCCAGATTTCACTCCAGGACAGCATCCGTCGTCTCATTAGGACCATGCCCCAACGTTGTCAGACATCCATACAAGCACGTGGGGTCCATACAAACTTTAATGAGTTGCTGCAATGAAATTTCAGCACAATGGACTAGCCTGCTGCATCATTTGTTCACTTTGATTTTTGGGGTTCAGCCCTACGTAGTTTGATCATTTTTCATTTCCATCAAACGATGTGGCATCCTTTCGTACCGAACACATTACCCAGTCCAGTATACAGTACATATCCAGCATGATATTTTTCCCCATTGAGATCTGATGTGTTTTCAAAGTGTTCCTTTAATTTTTTTGAGCAGTATATTTCATATACATCACCAACCAGGGTCAGAATATAAGGGAGGGGTTGCAAGGAGTGTGTCTCTGTACAACAGGATCAGAATCAAATAAAATGTTTTATAAGAAGTGAAAAACAGTTTTATTAAAATTGTTAGGGTTAATTATGACATTTTAACATCCTTACCTGGAAAATTGCATACATAATGACTGTTAAAGGCCTGTTTCCAGAAAATTCAGCTATCTTAAATATATCAAGACCCCATTTATTGGCCTCTTCTATTTCCTGTAACACAAGAACATATACAAAATGTTAGTTTCACCAATTTTCAGATGAACAATGATTGTAATACAATACTACTAGTTATACTAGTATTGTGGTTCTGTTTGTTCTTGGCATGGAGCTGTTGCTACTGGAAATTTAAAAAGCATGCCCCATAAAGGTACATGAATCGAATCTATCTTGAACACTTAAATGTTCATTTTAGGGATTACTTTACCTATTAAACTGAACCCTAAAACTTAACTTTGACCTTAGAGTGGATCTTTTCCCCCCCAATCAAGGCTTTTTGTTTTATCTAAGAGATCTGCTCAAGATCTGGTGCCAACGTCATCAGTGGGTCAGCACAGAGTACACAGAAGAAGCCAACAACTGATAATGTCTACTTACAAAATGGCAGCGCAGTTTTTCACCAGTGGGTGAAAAGGACCATTGGTAAATGAGAACAGTGCAATGGACAGGGCAAGTAATAAGAGTTTTATGTATTCATTTTAATACATTGATTTCAATAATGGTGGTGCTTTCATATAAAAAGGAGGGGGGGGAAGACCAGCTTTACTGTTTTACGTTTTATGTTTTAAAAATGCTTAACCTAGCTTGGTCACTTTATACTCATTTCTTAACCTAACTGTCACACTTAAAGTGTGTGTGAAGCCAAACTTTATTTTCAGTTTGTGAAGATTTCCCTTCACTTCCTGTCCCAGGATGCTACAGGACTTGAGAAGAAATCTTTACAAAGTGAAGCAAAATTCACTCTTCACTAGAACAAGTGCCCCCATTGAAAGATCTCCCCATGTTTTTCTCTTCCATTGACAGCTTTTGGATTTTCCATTACAATCCGTCCTGGTGAATAATAGAGGGTAAATCACCCTGTTGGGAATGCAGACAGCAATAAAAACCCCACAGATCTTCTAATCCTTCCACATTGTATGCAATAATGAAAAAACAATTTCAGTTTTTGTTTTTCCAAGTCTCCTCTGTAATATAGTTTTATTACTGGTTGATTCTGCAAGTAGATCCATTAACCTAACCCTTAACGTTATCCCTTAGCCTGAACTCCTAAACTTAACCTAACAGTTAATATTAAACCTTCAACCCTTAACCCCTGAAAAAAAAAAACTTTAGTACCAGAGAAACCTAGAACCACGAGCAAAAAATATTAAAGCCATACTCCGGGCAAAACTATACATGTTTACACATCAAACTGGGTTTGTAAATTATCATTAAAAAGCTGGGTGTTATGTGCAGGTAAAAAGGAAAAATCTACCTTTGCCATTTCCTGCACACAATGCCCCGACCCCCTAAGAGCCGCACAGACCCCCGAAAGCCACACAGCCTGCCCCCCACCGAGAGCCACACAGACCCCCCAGAGAGCCGCACAGACCCATTAAAAGCTGCCCCTTGAAAGCCGCACAGCCCCCCTCCTGAGAGCCACACAGCCTACCATGAGAGTCTGTACAGTCCCCCCCTGAGTGCCGCACAGCCCCCCTTGAGAGCCCATACAGCAAACCTGAGAGCCCCCAGATCCATCTGAGAACTGCACAGCGCCCCTGAGAGCCTGCACAGCTCACCCGAGTGCCCACACAGCCTCCAGATACCCTGGAGACATCAGCCCGCCATCCCGGAGCAACACAGAGTATGCAGCCTTATATTATTCTGCATTGCTGTATAATGTATTGCTGGGATTTGTTGTCCTCTATAGTTGGCGTTATTCTGCATTGCAGTATAATGTATTGCTGGGATTTGTTGTCCTCTATAGTTGGCGTTATTCTGCATTGCTGTATATTGTATTGCTGGGCTATATAGTCTTCTATAGTTGGTGGTATTCTGCATTACTGTATAATGTATTGCTGGGATATGTAGCCCTCTATAGTTGGCGGTATTCTGCATTGTTATATAATTTTATGCTGAGGTCAGTTCCTCAGTTAGTTAGACAGGTTGGAGTCAGTGGCAGAACTACCGGGGTCGTGCTGCAACTGGGCCCTGGTGCTACACCATGGACTCCAAGCTGTAGATAGAGTGTTACCTTGCAGTGTGCTGCATGACATGTACCTTTAGTAGCACACTGCAATGGAACACTCATTAGCACAGTACAAAAAGGTACATGTCACTCTGTAGTGTAGTTAAAACCTCTTGTATTGTATTTTTCTTCTGAGATTTAAGCACATAATTAGTTCAGACGGTCGTATGAAGTGTTTTTCTAAAAGAAATCAAAGTATTTGGGTCTAAGTGCGGGGTTGACACTTTGAGACACGTAAGTTGGTTTAGTCATCCAGTTTGAGCACTCGGGCTCAAAAATGTTTGCCATCACTGGTTTAGACAGTATGGAGGTAAATTTGTCTAACAATGTTGAATAGCTTGGTGTTATTAAATGCATGTAGTTTGATATCCTCAACCTGAGAATTGAAACTGAAATTGGCCAACAAAGGGCCTGGTATATTTGCTTGTGCGTACAAATTGCGTTGTGCCCAGCACAATTGTTTTTCAGCTCTATTGTTAAGGAGGAAGTTTAGCTGAACCCTTAAATCTTCAATGTGTTTATTAGGGATGTGGAGGAGTTCATTTTAAATTGGACTTCTAATTGCTCAAGGTGAAGAGACAATGCAAGGGGCTTTGAAGCATGTTCCGTTTCTTGCATGCTGCCAGCTGAATGATTGCCCCCCATAAGGTGGTTTATGTGCTTCCTATGGGACTACTGGATTTACCTGTTTCCATTACTGTCTGTTTTAAAACATTTAATAAAAATGCCAGGACAGTACAAACACCACAATGACCCCTTTTTGAAAACTGGATACCCACTTGGAGACCAGGGTGTTAAACCCCCTTCCTGTCCAGGCCATTTTTCAGTATTCAGCGGTACTTTGACTGACATTTATTGCGTCATGCAACACTGTACTGAAACAAATCTTATACCATTTTTTTGGGGGACAGATAGAGCTTTCTTTTGGTGGTATTGAATCACCACTGGGGTTTTTATTTTTTACTATATAACAAAAAAAGTACCCTAAATTTAGAAGAAAAAAAAACCTGTTTCCCTATGAAATGTTATGAAACATTTATTATTACCCAATTTTTTGGTAAAATATAAAAGACGGGGTCACGTCGGGTAAGTAGACACCAAACATGTCAAGCCGTAAAATTGTGCGCGCCTGCGAAATTGCAGAAAACGACACCTCATTTGCAGGTCCGTAGGGGTGCTGGTGATAGTATTCATACGCCACCGGAATGGATCTTGTATGCGTCCCGGCCAGAAAACCCGCACCCCTACGGACCTGCAAATGAGGTGAGCGTAGGGGGGGCGTACGGCCGCGTAGCCCCATGGAGAAGGACGGGGGCTGCGTTCTAATCACACGCAGCACCTGTTCTTCCCGGCAGCTACTTGGTACGGCCCCGCACGCAGCACTGAGCTATACGTGCAGGACGATTCGTGTGTGAATGGGGCCTAAGCATTTTTCTTTTATAATAGCGTTGTTGGCCATAAAGGTTATGATCTGATTGTACAATCTCCTTCAGGTTTACTAAAACTTGTCATGTGTAAATCTAAACAATCCATTACATCTGTAAGAAATCAGACAGACCCTTGTTGCTTAAAGGAGAACTGTATAGTCAGCTAAGGAATTCCCCACAGCTATACAGTACAATGTAAACAGAACCCTGTGATGAGGTACTTGTTGGTTTATAGTCACCTTTGCAAGGAGTTCTTCTTGATCAGTCTTCACTCCAAACCGTGGAATACTGCAAATAGTAAAGCTGGAGCTATGAGTCAGCTTCTTCACACCAGTAATTTGGGACATGGGTATCTTCTTCTTTTCCTTCTCCTTTGTGGTTGGAGAGGGCATATCCACTTCATGCTGTTTATCTGGTGGAAACAATTAGTTACAAATAATTATGTTGTGCCTTCCGAAATATCAATTTTCCTAAAGTCCACTGTCACTTGATTAACTCGTACCTGCTTAAAATGTTCACCAACTAGATAAACATGTTTAATTGCCTAACAGAAAATGTACCTCTTCGAGCAACAACTCTATGGGCTACGTTCATTTAGACAGTTCACCATGTGTGTGCGCCTCCTGAGCTGCCAGAAAAGGGTCACATGGAAATCTTTTCATCTTTTGCTCCCTTAAAAGAGAAGTACGGGGTCAGGGCTTTTCCCCATAGTTCTCCTAAGGGTAACGGGTGAGGGGGCACTCAGGAGGGGCGGGGACACGCGGAGGAACAGCGGAGATGACCAGCATGGACATGGGGAGGAGCAGCAGGGACGACCAGCGGGGACACGGGGAGGAGCACCGGGGACAACCGGCGGGGACACGTGGAGGAGCACCGGGGACAACCAGCGGGAACACGGGGAGGAGCAGCAGAAACAAGCAGCGGGGGACACAGGGAGGATCAGCAGAAACAAGCAGCAGGGCACACAGGGAGGAGCAGCAGAAATGACCAGCGAGGGCATAGAGAAGCAGCAAGGATAACCAGCAGAAACATGGAAAAGCAGCAGAGGCACTGGTGCAGAAACGGAGGCACCGGGGAATGCAGAGGCACAGCTGTCTCTCCTCCCCACTGGGCGCTGGCTGCAGACACTGACCGCAGCACACAGGGTCTCCCAGTGGGAAGGAGAACGGGGGAGCAGAGCGGCAGTGGAGTGAGTTTTGGAGCTCTTCTCAACGCCAAGCATCAGCTGCAGGGGTCTGTGTCCCCTCCCATCAGATGGGACACAGAAACAACTAATCAAACAAACAATCTACTAATCAATAATGAGAATCATTGACAACGATTCTCATTATCGATTATCATCGATCAAATCGATTAGTTGTTGCAGCCCTAGGCTATACACTGAGCAAATTTTGTCTGCTTCGTGATGAACAGTCCTAAATGTGCTTACTGAGAGGCCCTGTCTGCTGGCTCCTGTCCAACATCCCTCATTTGCAAAATCGAAGGAGCCAGGCAAAAAATAGTCGACCGAATACACCTTCAGACATATTTGGTCAACCATTTTTGGACCGACACGGAGCCAGCAAACACAGGGCCACCCAGTGAGCGATGCAGATGCAGGCACTGTTCAGGTATTTTGAGAACCAGTGGGGTGGACTGTCAAAATACATTAGCCGCAATGCCATAGCCACTGTTTGGCATGGATGGAGACATCCGTTAGACTTTTCCATTCAGCACAAAAGCTGCATGAAAAAAAACCTACAAGTGCATACCCAGCTTTACACTGTCTGGTCATAGTGAGTTTTTTTGCTATAAGACGGTCCTTGACTTTTAGTTACAATTGCATTCTTCCTTAGTGTCCTTGTTTAGTAATCAAAGACAAAATCTGTAGGATCTTACTATAAAGCACATTTGTGTCATTTATTCCACAAAGCAAAACAAATGTCAAACGCACTCATCAATTTGTTACCAGCTTTACAGCAAGGTGCAGGCTTCAAACAGTAAAACGTTTCCAGGCACACTCACCAGCCAGCATGCAAAAAAACCTGTCTAACCACTGAGGTTTAGGGAGGTTGGGCTTTCTCCTGACAAACCTGCACCCAATGTAATATTTTGCCCCATGTGCTCCAAGATGGAGACTCTCATAGTTTAGAGTTAGGACCTCACTATCTAGGAGGTGCCTTGACGTGGATGTGCGGCTTTCACATTTTCTGCAGAAGACATGTATCCAAACCTCTGCTTTTAACCTTAGTGGTTACACAGGTTTTTTTTGCATGCTGGCTGGTGAGTGTGCCTGGAAATATTTTTCTGATTTATTCCACAAAGACTGCTATAAGAAAAAGGGCCCGATGAAAGAAAGCTATCTCTGAACTGAACAGACATTTACAACATACCATGCAGAGAACAAGCTTAAACATGATGTGCTGTCATGTCTTACGGCACTAGGTTAAATTTAGCATCTGCATGGAGTTTGTATTGTCTGGGTTTGAGCTAGGTGCTCTGGTTTCCTCCCTCAATCCAATTCAAATCAAAATATACACAGTGATTTCACCCCAAAGAACATGCTACAGTGATTAAGGTAAGAACATTGGAGTGTAGTATTTTGTTTGTGTTGAAAGCATTGTGTGTATGTGTTTTTGTTTTTAATTTGATTGAGGGAGAAAACCAGAACACCCAAAGCAAACCAAGACAATACAGACTCCATGCAGATGCTCAGCTGGACCTAGAGCTGCAAGACATCATGTTTAAGTTTGGCACATATCAATAGTTCATTGTTATCTGTAAAGCACTTGCAGGAGTTTTCAGAAATATTGTTAGGTCCTCTTGCACACACTACATCTTTACTCACAGACTTTCAACAATATGTAAGCCTGGGCATTGTGAAGGCCATCCAAAATCCTTCAGGACAACTATACCTTTTGTGCCAATTTAAGTAGGGCTGCAAAAACTAATCGACATAATCGATTATTGAAAAAGTTGTGAACTTTTTCAATCATCGATTAATCGGCTTCCGATTGGTTGGCCCTGTTCACGGCTCCACACTTCCTCCCCACCTCACGCTCGCCGCTGCCAGACCCGCCCGGCCGCATCCACACGCAGCACCTCCTCCCTGCCTCACGCTCACCGCCCGCCCACATCCACGATTGGCACAGGGACGCGGGTAGAAGTAAGGAGGAGCAGGTTTGGCGGATGACAGCCGCCGATAGGCAGTCCCGATCTCAGAAACAAGTTGCTGGAAGACTGCTCAGGTAAGCCTGCACTTTCCCCCCACATGGTGCTCTATAATGTATTGCTGGGATTTGTATTCCTCTATAGCTGATGGTACATTGTGCTGTATATTATACATAGGAATACAAATCCCAGCAATCCCTGTATGTATAATGTACTATTGCTGGGATTTGTTGTATTCCTTTATAGCTGGTGGTATTCTGCATTGCGCTGTATAGAGGACTACAAATCAAGGAATTATACATTGTGCAACGCAATGCGGAATACCACCAGCTATAGAGGAGTACAACAAATCCCAGCAATAATACATTATACAGTGGTGCAATGCCGAATACCACTAGCTATCGAGGACTACAACACCCAGCAATAATACATTATACAGCGCAATGCAGAATACTGCCAGCTATAATGTATTATTGCTGGGATTTGTTGTACTGTGCTGGTGGTATTCTGCATTGTGCTGTATAATGGACTATTGCTGGGTTTTGTAGTCCTAAAGCCGATGCCATTCTTCATCATTGTTGTATAATTTTACACTTTCATTACACTATATTGCACACCACACTTTTTTTTTTCTTTTTTACTTCCACCGCTCCTAGCTTGCTCCTGTGATGGACTACAATCTCAGTACAAACTAGTAAGTCCCATCACTGGAGCCATTTTTAATAATGTATTTTATTTTTTATCCGATTAAACGATTAATCGAACTTAATAATCGGCTAACTAATCGATTTTGAAAATAATCGTTAGCTGCAGCTCTAAATTTAAGGCATGCCAGCACTCCCATGAGTGCACAGCGTTGCGTTAGGAAGTGTTTGCACCAGGTCCTCTTCATTCTGCACATGCACCTTGCAACCATATTCATTCCTATGGGGAGAGCTGTACTCTACAGGACAGTTGGTGGCTTCCATTAGTACAGCTCCCCATAGTGATAAACGAGTATGTTCAGCTCAGTGTACATTCTCGGCATTCCTCAGTGCCATAATACATTCATTCCAGTGTCCATGCAGCCAATCAAGATGACTGAAGATGCTGATCACAGAAGTAGGCTAGATAAGGATGTCAGGAGTGGAGAGAGCTTGCAGACTATGCGTCAATGGAGGGGAGGCAAGTGCAGCCGACTCTAGTTCCACTTTAATATCTATGGGTTTTTTTAATATAAGTGTGGCTTTAATATACTTCAGCTTTAGGGGCCTTGTTATTTTGTGCAGCAGTACTGATGATCAATAAAATGATAATGGAAATCATAATTGTGAGATTAAAATGCTTACCTAAGAAAGTACTAGATATATATTCAGACACCTGATTTCCAGACCGGCTTGTTTCAGACAAGTGCGTCAGTTCTCTATTTAACATTCTCTTAAACTGCGGGAAGAAAAGAGAACATCAGTAACATGCTATAAACAAGCCAAAGCAGCTACTGGCATGGCTTCTCTTACAGGCTTTATGATTGTAAAAAGAGACATTTACCCTGATATCTCATATTATAAATACATCTATCACCTGCTTGGTGTTTACATTAGAGATCTGAAAACCAAATCACTCACGGGGAAGGGGAGAAGGCTGAGCTGCGCTGCTGGGAGTTCAGAACAGAACGATAGCAGTGGTTCCACTGTGAAATTTCAGCATGAATTACTCCAGAGTGCCTGCAGCTAGAGGTCAGCAGGGGCTTGTTTTAATGTTCATTTACTATTGTCAGGCTCTCTGTCACCTAAGATTTGTCTAAATTGCCAGCAGCAGAATCGCAAAGAGGCTGTCCGTTTGTCCCTATGGTATGCAGCAGTATATTGCTCCCAATTCCAGTCATTGAGATTGAGCAGTGTTCAGGCCAGTGACAGAGAAACATCTCACTGTATCTGGGTACAAAGGAAGCAATTCAATTGGGACAGACAGGCAGTGCCCTTAGCTATCCTGCCACTGGCAATATGTCTCTAGCAGCAGAATTGCCCAGTTGACATCACCCAAAGAACATTTAAAAACACTTGAGAGTCCAAAGCCTGGCCACATGTTCACTTTAAAGACCTTTTAGCTGGAAAGTCAGGAGTTAGAGGTAAAATAAATTGCTTGCACCACTCTGCAAGCTAACCTAGAGCAACAACTGACATGCAAATATGAAACATGCCCATAAACCAATCACACATCAAAAAGGTATACTTTTATCTATTTCATATAAAACAAACAAGCTTTATTAGTCCACGGCAAATCAACAACCATAACCCACAAACCATTTAAACAAACACCTCTCCTCAGCAGAAAAATATATCCATGTGAAATAGGCTGTCCCTATAGCTGGTGGAACTCAAGCTCAACTGAGAAAAAGTAATTTTATGATATAACTAACTCCAAATAAATGTAAACATACTAAGGGGAATTTATCAAAACTGGAGAAAACTAAATCTGGAGCAGTTGCCCATAGTAACCAATCAGCTTCTTTCTTCAGGTTTGTTCAGTTAAGATTTGGAAATGAAAGAGAAGCTGATTAGTTGCCATGGGCAACTGCTCCAGAATTCATTTGATCCAGTTTCGATAAATTTCCCCCACTGTGATAAGATATACACACACACACACACACACACACACACACACACACACACACACAAATATCGTATTTACATATCTGAAATACATTTGTCACTGATGTATGGATAGACAGACAAACTGCCCAGATTTCCTCACTAAGTGGTGTGCAATGTATAATGTATAGCAGAAAATAAACCGAAATATTAACACAGTAAAGTGCATACAAAATCACCCCTCCAGATTTAAGATAGAGCCAGGGACATGCCAAGGATTCTCAATGCATGTTGCGGTGAACGTGCAGCTTGAAGAAGGTCAGAGGTCGCATGAAATCTAAGCCCTTGTTCACACCTTGGAGATGCAACATCACAGAGGTGGTGCAGGTTACATAGTTACATAGTATTTGGGGTTGAATAAAGACATACGTCCATCAAGTCCAACCCATATAGGTCCACACATCATCTCATTCTTAGGGATACTGGTATCCCTGGATATTACGGTCCCTCAAGAAATTGTCCAAACGTTTCTTGAACAAATCTACACTCTTGGCTGAAATCACTGCCGATGGCAGTGAGTTCCAGACCTTAACTGCTCTTACTGTAAAGAACCCTCTCCGCCCATTGTGCTGGAATTTTTTCACCAACTTTAGGTGGTGGCCTCTAGTCTTTGTAATGGAGTTAATCTCAAACAGTTTGTTGCCAATGTTGCTGTCACCATTGAACATCTTGTACATGAAAATCATATCCCCCCTTAATCTCCTTAATTCCAGCGTAAACATGTTCAAGGTCAGAAGCCTTGCCTCAAAGCTCTGGTCCGCCATTCCCACAATTAGTTTTGTTGCCCTCTGCTGGACTCTCTCCAGTTCAAGGACATCCCTTCTCAGTACCGGCGACCAAAACTGGACCGCGTACTCCAGATGAGGCCGAACCAACGATCTATATAGAGGCACAATTATAGACGTGTCCCTGCAATACATCCCCTTCTTAATACAGGACAAGACCCTGCTAGCTTTGTTTACAGCAGCCTGGCACTGCAAGCTACCATTCAGTTTGTGGTCTACAATGACCCCCAAATCTTTTTCTATTTCTGACTTCCCTAGGTTGCATTGTGGTGTACTGCATTAGGGCTACCTACTGCAGCTAAATCATACATAAAGTGTGTGTACCATTACACCACATCACACGGTAAGGTCTCGTTCACACCTAGGCGTATTGCATATGCGCTTCTGTCGCACGACCGCCGCGCGTTTTTTTTGGATGTATCCCAATGGAAACGCGCAACAAAACGGCCCAAAGTAGTACCTGTACCTTTTCAGGCGTGGGCCGTTTTGTAGCGCGTTAGGGACGGGCGGAAATACGCTAAGGTGTGAACCAGACCCATTGACTACAATGGGATTTATATTTTTGAGCGTTTTGTAGAGCGTTCGTCGAGCGTAGAACGCGCTACAAAACGTTCAGGTGTGAACGAGGGCTAATAGGTCACTATGTGATTTGGTGTGATACAATGTACATGTGATGGCTTGGTGTGTTGGGGTGCCATTAACAAATAATGACACTGCAGTGCACCTAACAGTGCAACATGTGATGAGGGAGGGCATGCAGCATTGCACAGCTGTTAACAAAGCCTTAAAGTTGCTTTCATATTAGTTGTGTGACCACAAGTACACACGCCTGAAAATCTATAGTTATTTCAAAGAAACACAAACCGAGAGAAAAATAAAAGCTGCAACTGCTGATTTCCTTCTGAAAATGCTAGCTGTCTGGCTGCTTCAATAGTCTATTGACTCCACAAAAAGTACATTGAAGAAGTGCTGGGATTTCAATGGGTCAAATCTTTAAAGTGACATTAATCTCAGGAGTTAAATGTTAGAAATACATTCAAGTACCTTAACTATTAACAGAAATGTATCTTATTTGTGTATCACTCAGCTGTAGATCATCAAATCATCTCCGAATTGGTGCTGACACTGTCCTTCCTTCTGGAGGGTGACTACTTTTGTTCCCCATGGTCCCTGTGTGTGTTGTAAAGTAGCCACTGCTTCAAGCTCACTGTGATGGACTCCAATCTCATGCTTAGTTTACCAATTTGTATTGAGATTGTAGTCCATCACAGGAGCGAGCTTGGAGCAGTGACTACTTTACAACACACAAGGACAATGGAGAACAAAAGTAGCCACTCTCCAGAAGGAAGGACAGTGTTAGCACCAATTCAGAGATGATTTGAGGATCTACAGCCGACTGATACACAAATAAGATACATTTCTGTTAATACTTGGGGTACTTGAATGTATTTTTAAGATTTAACTCCTTTAAAGGTGAGCTCACTCAGTGGCGTCACAAGGGGGGTGCGGCCCGCACCCGGGTGACACCATTGACACCATTGGACTTACAGTCATTTTGGTGTCACGCCCCTCTGAAAAGTCGGGCGCTCGGTCATGGACCGCACGCCCGACAGTATCAGGAGAGAGGAGGGGACCCGGTGGCATACCTTACGTGCATGCGCGGTGACGTCTCGGCGGAGGTGACACTCGGACAGCGCTCCGGGTGTCACCCAGCCTCGGGATGCCCCTGAGCTCACTGGCTTTGGTAAGGCAGCTCTTAAAACACACAGACCTCACCTAATGGGTACCCGAAGGCAACTCAAAGTGTAAACATACAAATGGGCACCAAACTGCAACATGAAAGAGTCCAAAGTGCCTTTAATTGTTCATAATACCGTCACATAAGAACAGCCAGTTTTGTAGCCCTGATTAAGGGGGAGTAGAGTTGCCCCCGAAATGCGTTGGATATTTTCATGTGGCAGTATTACAAACAATTAAAAGGCACTTGGGACTCGTTCATGTTGCAGTTTGGTGCCAATTTGTATGTCTACATTTTCAATAGTCTGTGTAAATAAAACATTTTGGCAGTCGGTAAAGTCAGATGTCTTGATCTGCTTGCTTCCTTCAGGTCAGCTACTCAAAGTATTGGCATTATCAGACCAGCATGACAGCCAGGCAGTTAGCATTTTCAGACGTCAAGGTCAACAATAGCACCCTGTAAATTTGTTGCACGGCAGGTTTCCTCTTAGGCTAAATATTCAGAATGTTACAGATAAGCAGCCCAACCGTCGTCAATTGGCTGTTGGTGCATCACAACAAGCCTTTTAATGCACAACAGCACCACAAATCACAAATGCGGTGTGGTGTATTCATTGTGGTCGCTGGGAAGCCATAAAAATGGCACTACACCATGCAGCACCGTCCATCACTATTGGGTCTGGTGCTTTGGTACCAACCTCTTTCAATGCATCTCATTTCTAATGTTGGAGGGCATGCAGGCTGATAACAGCACACCAAGGCTTTTGCACACTAGCTACTAACTTGCCATGTGGATACAGCTGAATTCTGAACACAAACACTTTTCACACAAAGGATAAAAGTTACCTTTGTGTGCGCACCAAGTGGCAGTTAAGGTAGCAGTGACACCATTATTGAGCTGTACATAACCTGTGCAGAGAACAGAGCTGTGGGAGGGACCAGCAGGCTACACCCACTACAGAAAACTACGTGAGGGGGCGGATACAAGACCAGTCACCCTGCACAACGCAAGAGAGCAGCAGCGACTGGTCTTTATTACAGGAAGCTCCTGAACAGATCTGGAAGTGATACACAAAGCACGCTAAGAACACACATGACCTTTATATTTAGACAATATCCCGGAATTCAACTTTAACCCTCCAGCTGCTGAAACTATACAAGACAGTTTCAGCACTATGGAGAGCGCCAGATGGCACCGTTTGCAGCCTCACTAGTAGCTGCGAAAGTGTACTTTCAACATTCGTTGGCTGTTACATTATTATTATTATTATTATACAGGATTTATATAGCGCCAACAGTTTGCCCAGCGCTTTACAATATAGGGAAGACATTACAATCACAATACAAATCAAGACAAGATGGTAAGGATTCGCTGCAAGTACAAGTGTGACGAATGTGAACTTGACCAACTTGCTTTGTAAACATTTGGACATGTGTCCAGTAGGACGTTTTTGAATGAGCTGTCTAGAGAGGGGGCGGTGATGATATCGCTAGTATTAGTTCTCTTCCATTTGACTATTTACCATTAGGTTGAAGAAGAAACAGTTTAGGAAAATTCCTTTGCAAGGAAACACTTTTAGTACAAGTGACAAACAACGACTGAGACAGTTTTCAGCTTTTTTCTGTTTGAGGACCTTTTCACAACGTTTATTTCTGTCTGCCATTCAATCCCAGATGCAGAGGTATGGTTTGACAGCTCATTACATGTCTGATGTGCAATATGATCAATAAATATATTCATTTCCAACCTGATCCAGTTAGGATGAATGTGCAGAGAGGGGGATTCATGAAGACTGGAACAGACAGAATCTGGAGCAGGTGTGCATAGCAGCCAATCAGCTTCTAGCTTTCATTTTCAAAGCGTAACTGAACAAACTGAAGAGAGAAGCTGATTGGTTACTATGCACAGATGCTCCAGATGGTGTCACCATAGTGTCATTGCTGTTAAAGGTTGTAGAAGTTTTGTACTGGCCTATGTGTTATAAGAACGGATGGATCAGAAGTGTTCTGAGAAGGATGCATGTACGTGCTTTACTCTTATGGCAGCTTCTACTCAAAAGTTCCATCACGTAGAAAAAGATCGGGATGTCAGCACTAAGTAACTCCATGAAAAGCCTTCATATTTTATCCTAACACACATCATGCTCGGCTCCAGATCTTACAAGGACCAATGCAGTGTTCAGTCTCCCCACCATCTTCTCAGTATATGTGCACCTCTGCATCCATCAGGCACTCCTCCCTCTCCATCCCTCTAAACACACACACCGCTCACCTTGGCCCAAAGAGAGCAGCCCATCCTCCTATTTCCAGCATCCAGTAGAGCGCTAGGGCTTCCCCCGTGCACGGCGCCCCAAGCCGCTAAACGCCCCCATTGGAGTCCAAGGAGGCGCCCAGGGAGACCCGGGGAACATGCCGGGGATCGGGAATCCCTCCACTGCTTCCCCAACAACAACACGCCGCACTGGGACAGGCAGCCAATCAGGGAGCAGGCCACCGGCCAATAAGCGAGCAGGAGGCTAGGCAAGGGGAAGAGATGCGAGCAAATGCAAGGTGAATGGCTCTCCAATCATAAATAGAGGTGTGGCAAATGCGGCTGCTACCGGAGTAGTGCAAGTCATCAAGTATGAAGAAGAGAAGGAGGCGGAGTTTCAGCTTATGATGCAGCACATGGAATCGCGGAATAAAGGGGGCGGAGACTTTCTTCACCTGACTGAGAAGATACTTGTACTTCGTGCGTGCGTCAGGCACGAAAAGATGTACGTACCCTGATAGGTCAATGCACCTGTATAGTGCAGCATCCCACTATGTGACTGGGCCAGGAGGACAGTGTATGGAAAGGGAATCTTGACACAGAGGACCCAAAGCTATAAATAAGCGGCACTACCTGCCATCTAACTATACTTGCGTACCGCGGCACCAGCGGAGCAGCCACCCCGACGGAGGGTGCCGCCCTAGGCAAACGCCTAGTTTGCCTCGCGGTAAATACGCCCCTGCACACAGCCCTGGTGAGACCCATATGCAGCCCTGGTGAGACCGTGCATTGCCTTGGTGAGACCCTGGACATCCCCCTGAGACCCCACACAGTCCTGGTGTCACTGCACAGCTTCCTGAGACGCTGCAAAGCCCTGGTTAGCAACACAGAGTATGTAGCTTCATATTATTCTGCATTGCTGTATAATGGATTGCTGAGATTTGTAGTCCTCTACAGCTAATGGTATTCTGCATTGTTGTATAACAGGGGTGTCTACAATTTTTTGTGTTAAGATCTATTTTAAGAATGTTGAATTCGATGAGATCTACCAATGAGAAAAAAACACCAGTATTTGAGAAACAAACACATTCAAATGCTTACTGGGACTGGGGTATTTCGAGTCAGATTATAGTAGTCCCTGTAAAGGAGGGGGTGATATAATATACTACACAGCCAATCATTCTTCCCCCATGGTGACTGGGAAAGTGGCATGAGTAAGACACATAAAGAACTCTGTGTGAGAAAGCCAGAGGGGGAACATAACTCAGGTAAGATTAAGCATCATACAGGTGTGTGCATGCCTGGAATATAACTACCTGCTTCCTGGCTCTTCCATCCTGCTGGTGTGTCTGACACTGCAGGCAGGGAGGGTGGTCCCGATGAGTCCGGGGCTGCAGGCTGGAAGGGGTGGGCCAAATGTGTCCAAGGCTGCAGACGGGGAGGGGCCAGGCAAATGTGTTGGACACTGCAGACGGGGAGGGGTGGTCACAGTGTGTCTGACACTGTAGGCTGGGAGAGGCGGGCCAAATGTCTCTAACATTGCGGGCGGGGAGGAGCAGACAAAAGGTACTGGACGCTGCAGGGAGGGAGCGGGCGGAATGTGTCGGATGCTTCAGCATCCAACACATTCGGCCGCACTAGCAGAGCAGGAGTGAGATCAGGAGTTAACCTGCGATCTACCAGCGTTAGCTTTGCGAACAACTGGTAGATTGTGACCGACCTTATGGGAACCCCTGCTGTATAATATATTGCTGGGATTTGTACTTCTCTATAGCTGGTGGTATTCTGCATTGCTGTATAATTATTGCTGGGATTTGTAGTCCCTCTACAGCAGGGGTATCAAACTCAATTTAATCGTATATAAATGTATCTAATATTTATCATAATTGCCTCTGCATTCGCTTATCCCTGGTTTTAGTAATAACTTAATACCTAGATCTGAATGTAGAAGTCTAGGAAATGGCCTGGTGGGCCAGATTCGGCCCCCGGGCCTTGAGTTTGACGCATGTGCTCTACAGCTTGGCGTCAGTGGCAGAGCTACTAAGGTCGCATCGGTTGCAGCTGTAACAGGGCCCTGGCACTCCTCCACTGTCCTAAAATCATTAGTCTGTATTGTTTTAGAAGAACTATCAAATGACAATAAATAAAAGGTAAAGTATTTGTACTTGGACTTTAAAAAATGGTATCGGTGCATCCCTAATATATATTTATTTATGATTGGTATTTATATGGTGCCAACAATTTACACAGCGCTTTACACAGTGCACATTCACATCAGTGAATGTTTTTTACACACAAGCATAGGCACTAATACTGTATATGCGCAGGCATATGTACTTATATTTGCGAGAATAAGTACTAATACTGTATATATGCAAATATGGGTACTAAGATAGTGTATATGCTGGGATAGATACTAATTTACAGTATATTTGTAGTCATATATACGAGGGTGTCAAAAATTACCCGCACTCTGGTTATATTAAAACTTCTGTTGGTCGCACTGTCTTATCAGCGCTTTCCGTTCAAGGCTACCATCTCCCAGTCACTGCTGTGCAGGTGTGAACGTGTTACGTCAGTTCATTTATAACTGCAGTGCGAGAAAAAAGAAGTGAAGACAGCGGTGCATTCGTGGCTCGCAGCTCAGCCTAAAAGATTTTTTAATGAGGGAATACAAAAGCTTGTTGACAGATGGACAAAGAGTATTGAAAAGCAAGGAGATTATTTCGAAAAATGATGTATTTGTCTTTTCTAAAAGTTAAATAAAATAAATTCTACGGCCAGCGTGCGGATCATTTGAATTATGAAGGAAAAAGCTGTCAGCTTCAAGTCTGAAGCTGACAACTTTTTCTCCATTCAGATCAGCATCGAACTCCTCCCCGCTGTGTAACCTGTCATGGACGGAGCGCTGCTTCGTCCGGCGGGGGAATGCCTCACCTGGAACAAGAGGTATCGCACATCACTGATATACAGTATCTCACAGAAGTGAGTAAACCCCTCACATTTTTGTAAATATTTCATGATATAATTTCATGTGACGACACAGAAGAAATGACACTTTGCTACAATGTGAAGTAGTGAGTGTACAGCTTGTATATCAGTGTACATTTGCTGTCCCCTCAAAATAACTCAACACAGCCATTAATGTCTAAACCGCTGGCAACAAAAGTGAGTACACCCCTAAGTGAAAATGTCCAAATTGGGCCCAATTAGCCATTTTCCCTCCCCGATGTCATGTGACTCGTTAGTGTTACAAGGTCTCAGGTGTGAATGGGGAGCAGGTGTGTTAAATTTGGTGTTATCGCTCTGACTCTCTTATACTGGTCACTGGAAGTTCAACATGGCACCTCATGGCAAAGAACTCTCTGAGGATCTGAAAAAAAGAATTGTTGCTCTACATGAAGATGGCCCAGGGTATAAGAAGATTGCCAAGACCCTGAAACTGAGCTGCAGCACGGTGGCCAAGACCATACAGCGGTTTAACAGGACAGGTTCCACTCAGAACAGGCCTCGCCATGGTCGACCAACGAAGTTGAGTGCACGTGCTCAGCGTCATATCCAGAGGTTGTCTTTGGGAAATAGACGTATGAGTGCTGCCAGTGATGCTGCAGAGGTTGAAGGGGTGGGGTGGGGGGGGGTCAGTCTGTAAGTGCTCAGACCATATGCCACACACTGGTTCAAATTGGTCTTTATGGCTGTCGTCCCAGAAGGAAGCCTTTCTAAAGATGATGCACAAGAAAGCCCGCAAACAGTTTGCTGAAGACAAGCAGACTAAGGGCATGGATTACTGGAACCATGTCCTGTGGTCTGATGAGAACAAGATAAACTTATTTGGTTCAGATGGTGTCAAGCGTGTGTGGCGGCAACCAGGTGAGGAGCCTACAGTTAAGCATGGTGGTGGGAGTGTCATGGTCTGGGGCTCCATGAGTGCTGCCGGCACTGGGGAGCTACAGTTCATTGAGGGAACCATGAATGCCAATATGTACTGTGACATACTGAAGCTGAGCATGATCCCCCTCCCTTCGGAGACTGGGCCGCAGGGCAGCATTCCAACATGATAACGACCCCAAACACACCTCCATGTCGACCACTGCCTGGTCGACATGGAGGTGTAAAGGTGATGGACTGGCCAAGCATGTCTCCAGACCTAAACCCTATTGAGCATCTGTGGGGGCATTCTCAAATAGGAGGTGGAGGAGTGCAAGGTCTCTAACATCCACCAGCTCCGTGTTGTCATTGTGGAGGAGTGAAAGAGGACTCCAGTGGCAACCTGTGAAGCTCTGGTGTTTAAACAAACTTGCTGTAACTGGCCTCATAATGAATACAATTCTCAGGTTTCTGGGTTCCCAGCTACTCAGGGCCCAATGCGACTGTTGTTTGGTGCCTGTTGCAGACACCTTGCCTGTAGGTTAGACTGCAACTCCCAGCATGCAGCATGAATGGCCAGGCTGTAGGCAGTTTGGATGTTCTGGGCTACATGGCTTCCTGTCTGCTCCGACAGGTAGATTATAGCCATGGCCTGGCAAGAGCTAAACCGTGACCCGATGGTTGAGCGTCACAGCCCTACAATGCTTTTTACACGTATTTCTGACCCATGGACCTTCTAACAACCTGTAATTAAAATTAATTTTATTGGGATTTTTATTTCTTTTTGAAGCTGAAAAGTATTTTGGTTCTGACACAAACAAATTCTGGAATGTTAAATTCTGGCCCAGTCTCAGGTCAGCCTGAAATGGGTTTTTATTCTAGAACGGTCCTGCATTTTTCATTCATCTTGTGATCCATCCTGATCACTTTCCCAGATCCTATTAATGGAAAATTATTCCCACCTGTGACATTATGTTTCACTGTCAGGATGTATTCTCAGGGTGATAAGCAGCGTTGGCTTTCCACCACAACTGGATATACCAGGGCCCACAGAATTACTTTATTATTCATATTCTGGCAATGAGTTTAAGACTTCTAGCTCAGTCAAGCATAATATAATACTAACTGTACAGACAACAAATTGCTCCTGGAATGTTTTCACAATAAAAAGGAAGATCAAAATGTTTCCTGTAATTATACGAGGTTAAGGGTGTGTTAGCCCCTCGGCCATAAAATGGTGATGCTTAAGAATGGTTCCCAGAGGTGTCACAATGGGAAACAGATTCTTCCATTGAGCTATGTTCTTTTCTGTAATGACGCCATATAATAAATAAAACAAATGTCATCTTCTGTTTAAGTTTTCAAATTTAACTCAAGTTAAGCAAAGGGGGTTAGGAAGCAAAATTCATTAAATTGTACTTAAAGAACAATAGTCAAGAA